GAGCGCTTGCTGGGGCTTTCCGGGGCCATCGGGACCATGCGAAGCTGACGACCCCGTTGGTTGGGCGGGTTGGTTGCGGAGCAGAAATTCAGTGAAAATGAAAACTTTTGGCAGGGAGGGGGAAGGGGTTTTTTTGCTTGTTGAGAAAACAGAGAAGAAAACACCCTTTTTTTTAATTATTTAAACATTTTTGTCTGTGTGTGCTTTCGCCTTTGGCTCACAAAAAATAAAAAAAAGACAAACAAAACGTGTCTTGCTGGAATTCGTGTGTTGATCAAGAGCCGCCATTTGTCCCAGAAAAAATGGGAGCTGAGAAACTCTTTTTGGAGCAGGAGGTGCAGGATAAACCCAGCAGGTTGAACCCTCCATCTCCACCGCTGTTCTGCACCCCGTCCTTGGTCACATCCCGCAACGGTAGGGAAAGAGGGCGTTAAGGTGGCCAGATCCGTCTCCATCCATGAATTGGGTGTTCAGCACGGAAAGCCAAAGGGAAGCAGAGGGAAAGGGGATATCCCACCTGCTTTTAATATAGGGCGTGGGATTTAGGGTGTGGGATATCCCTTGCATTTGGCATGTAGCTGGCAAACCCATCCTGGGGCTCAGGTATCCCCAGGAGAGGTGATGAACGTCCAGGGGTGGTCTGCAGCATGCGAAATACACGTGAGCTAAATTAAATACCCAGCAAATGCAGCCTGGGGAGTGTTGGCAGTCGCAGCATTTCCCAGCCTGGGGATGCTGCTCCCTGATTTGAATTTTTCCAGGTAGTGCCTTTCCCCAGGTGATTTAAAATGGGCATTAAAAAAGCGCATAATTCATTCCGGTGAATCCAGCTAGCGAGTTAGCTGCTAACGTGAGTCAGAGCACGCAGCGTAATTCGGCAAATATTAGAGGATATTGTGTTTTATGTAATCATCTTGTAGAAGCAGGGAGGTTTAAAATCCTGATTTCCTTCTATTTTGGGGGTTAATCTCAGCTGGTGCCTAAAATTGGCTTCCTGCGTGGGGCAAATGTCCCCCCGGGGTCTCCATCTGGTTCAGGAGGTCGAGGCATCCCCTCTCCTGCGTGACATCTCCTCCGCACGAGCGTGGACAGCTGAGCCAGGCTTTGGATCTCCTTGGTGGTGGGGTGGCCATGGTATCTCCTACCCAGGCTGAAGGGATGTCAGTGGGTGCTCATATGGCCTTGGCCTGTCCTTTCATTGGTCTTTCTCCTCCTCGGTTGAGTCTCCTGTACTCAAGTTGGTGGTGGAGCTTCTTGGTTGGTATCTCCAAGCTGGGCCTGGTGGTGGAGCTTCTTGGTGTTTCGAAGCTGGGTCTGGTGGTGGAGCTTTTTGGTTGGCGTCTCCAAGCTGGGTCTGGTGGTTGAGCTTCTTGGTTGGCATCTCCAAGCTGGGGCTGGCGGTCGTCTCCAAGCTGGGTCTGGTGGTTGAGCTTCTTGGTTGGCATCTCCAAGCTGGGCGGCTGGCGGGAGCTTCTTGGTTGGCATCTCCAAGCTGGGGCTGGCGGTGGAGCTTCTTGGTTGGCATCTCCAAGCTGGGGCTGGCAGTGGAGCTTCTCAGTTGGCTTCTCTGACTTGAGATGCACAGATAGGGACGAGTGGCATGGCCGGGCGGGTGTTTTCCTGGGGAAAGAGCCCTCCTGAATGGTTCTATTTCCTTCCTCCCCACAGCTGATAGTCGAAAAAACGACTGACTACCCTTCGGCTGAGTACTCCCTGGTGGAGGATGTAGCCCTCCACTTCACGTGTTTGATGGACAGACTGAACGAGCAGCGCCTCTTTCAGCCGGACCTGTGCGACGTGGACATCGTGCTGGTGCAGCACAAGAGCATCTTCCCAGCGCACAAGGGGGTCCTGGCGGCCTACAGCCAGTTCTTCCACTCCCTCTTCACCCAAAACAAGCAGCTGCAGCGCGTGGAGCTCTCGCTGGAGGCCCTCACCTCGCAGGGCCTCCAGCAGATCCTCAACTTCATCTACACCTCCAAGCTCCTCGTCAACTCCTGTAATGTGCAGGATGTGCTGAACGCGGCTGCTGTGCTGCAGATGAACAACATTGCCTCCTCCTGCCAGGACCTCCTTGACACCCGCTCGCTCAGCCTGGCCGCCGACATGGCCCTGCCCGCTGAGGGCTGCGCCGGACCCCCGCCCTACTACTGCGAGATCAAGCAGGAGGTGGATGCCCCCCATCCCAAGATCTACGCCCGGGAGGGCAACGACCCCTACTCGGTGCGGGTGGAGGATGGAGCAGGTGGTGGGACGCTCCCCCCTGGTCCAGCCAAGCAGTACTACAAGGAGGAGAAGGATGGTGGTCCGGGCACTGTCTGTAAGATAGAAGGCGAAGAGTCCGAGGAGGACCTGGACAGCCAGGGCTCGTACAACCGGGAGCAGATCATCGTGGAGGTGAACCTCAACAACCAGACCCTCAATGTCTCCAAGGGCATGGAGGGGAAGGCAGCCGCCAGCGAGGCGGCCGTGATGGGGCGGCCTGACGGTGATGGGCGCGACACAGAGGAGGATGGGGAGGAGGAGAATGAGGAAGGGGAGGAGGAGGAGGAAGAGGAGGAGGATGCAGAGGTGGGCGAGGAGGAGGAGGAGGAGCACAGCGAGGAGGAAGACCTGGAGGAGACGACGGAAGAAGAGGACGACGATGACGACGATGAAGATGCGTCAGAGGTGAAAAGGGAAAAGGGCGGGCAGCCCCGCAGAGGCAGCCGGGCGTCCAAAGCCACCAAACCTGCCATGGCAACCAGGTCCCAGGAGATAGCCAAGGTGGAAGAGGAGGAGGAGGAGGAGGAAGAGGAAGGCCAGCGAGGGAGGAAGAGGAAAAAGGAGCAGGATGGTTTGGGCCAGAAGGTGAAGCTGGAGGAGAAGCAGCACTACCCGTGCAAGAAGTGTCCCCGGGTCTTCAACAACCGCTGGTACCTGGAGAAGCACATGAACGTCACGCACAGCCGCATGCAGATCTGCGACAAGTGCGGCAAACGCTTCCTGCTGGAGAGCGAGCTGCTGCTGCACCACCAGACCGACTGCGAGAAGAACATCCAGGTGAGCCAGCCCTGGGGATGTCCCACCAGGGGGTGGACATCCCACCAAGGGGGGAACATCCCACCAAGGGGTAGGGCATCCCACTGGGGATGGACATCCCACCAAAGGAGGAGCATCCCACCATGACAGGACATCCCAGTGGGGGAGGACATCCCACCCACCAGGGAGGACATCCCACCCAGCTACACCATGGGGTAGGCTCATGCTCAAATGATATTTTTGATGATGTGGGTGGCACATGGCAGACGGGAGGGAACCTTGCTTCACCCGTGACTCGTATTCAGGCTCAGGAGGGTCCGACGGTGGCATGGGACTGGAGGATTTGTGCCGGGGGACTGTGGCTTCCCCTTGGCCAGCCGGGTGGAATCATGGAGTAATTTTTGAGGAGTAATTTTTCTTTGAGTTTATTCAGTTAATCCAGCTAAAACATTGCGAGCCCCTGATGGAGACACACTCCAGCTGTTCCCACCTAGGCTGAAACCAATTTAGCTTAATTCAAAGATTTGCTGACACGAGTTAAAATGGTTTTAATCTGCCTTTTGTGCTCTTTAGCTTGCGTATTAGCAAATTTCTGAACACATTTGACATCCATGCATGGCTCAGGCTCAATGTGTCCTTTGCCTAATGCTAACGAGATCCTCATCCGTGTTTGCAAATCGACTCCAGTAAATCAGTGCAGTTCTGGGGGATAGGTAGGCAGCCCCCTGGAGCAGCAAACGTGTGTTCCTGCAGACCCCTCCAACCCATCTCGTAATCCCCAACGAGCTGTTTTGCACGACGCTGCCACTACTAATTAAAAAACCAACAACTTCTGGAGAGCTTCGCCCATCATCCTTCCCACCACGACCGGATTTTAAATGATCTCGCAGCTCTCCTAGATGGAGGTAACGCAACCCAAGTGCTACTGGAGCCCTTCGCCGACGGCACCCCAAATAAAACGAGCGATGAAGGAGATCTCAGCGTTAGGGCATGCAGGGAATACGGAGGCAGGAGCAGTCCCGGCTCGAGCGGGTGAAGGAGCCGCTGCCTGCGCTGGCGGTGGCTGTTTTGGAGCCTATCGTAAAGCCTGTGCAATTAATAATATTTTTTCAGGCTCATCTGCTTTCCTGATGGTTAACGTGGGGCTGTCACCTCATTGCTTCCCCTCCCCCCCCCCTTTTTATCCCTTTTCCAGGTCATTTCTGAATAGGATGAACCGCAACTGCCTGTGCGGTGACCTCCCTCCGCGGAAAACGTGGATCATTACCTCTCACTTAGTTGAGCATTTTTAATTTTACAAATAGCCAAATTCACTCCATTTGCTCTGATAATATTGAATAACTTTTATCAATATACCATGGAGTTATAGCTGGATGGAAAAGGGATTTTTTTCAACTCTATACCTATAGTGGACAGTCTTTAGTACTTGTTTTATAACCAGATCCATGGAGGGACCGTCCCTCTTACCCCGTTCAGGTCTGCTGCTTTCTTTTGCTGCTTTGTCCCCAGATTTCATCCATGATGCTTTAGGTCTTAGGCTTCACCTCCCTCCCTGTGATCGTTTCCCATCACCGTCCGTGGCCCCGCGGACTCCGTAGCAGGCATCCTGCCTCCGCCGCCTGAAAAACGATTCATCCTTTGCTTTCTCAGGTTGTTTCTCAAACTCTGTTTTTGGCCAGTTTCAGTATGGTTTTCCTCTTAGCCTGCAAGAATTTCTCCTTCTCATTTTTTTCCCTCGTTTGGACGTTTCTTCCACATTTTTGAGTGATGCTTTTTTGCAGTAACTGAGGACACAGGGCTGAGCCCTCCAGGGTGCTTGGTCCCAGCCCGGGGGCTTTCCTACATCTGCTGCTTTCCCTCTACCTTTAATTTTAAAATTCCCTTGCAGCCTCTTTCATTTTAAGTGGAGAAAATGGATGTTGATGTGTCTTTGATAACAGGCTCTGGTCCTGAATTTGTCCTGAAATGTCTCTTAAAGCAGAAATAAAACTGTTCTGATCTGTGGAAGTATTTACTTAGGAACAGTGAAACTCAGAGGACTACTCACGTTGATACTCAGGCATGGCAAGATGAAGACAACGAGTGTTGGGAATGCCTCTCTGACCCTAATTTTGCCTCCCAGGCACCTAAATATAAATATATGTAGCAAGATACTGTGACTACATGGCATAATGGTATATTTTCCACGGTATCACAGCCTCATTCGGTGCAAAATTTGGTTGAAGCCCATCAACAAGCATCAGTCTGTTCCTCTGGGTAGGAGAAGCTGGAGGCTGTGCTGCCTGCAGTGCTTCAAGCCCTGCTGGGAAATGCCCCCTGGGCTTACTGGTACCACTCAGCGGTGCTGTTGCTAGATGCCTCCAAGGCATGAATTATGTTCTCAGTGCACCTGCGAGGAGAAGGGATGGTTTTATCCCTGTTGGCCAAGAGGAAGATGAGTCATGGAGAGGTGAAGGGGAAAGAGTGTCCCTTGGCTCCTGGCAGGGTCCTCGGCTGGGTGCTGCCAGCTGTACCCATGCTGCAGCAATGGTTTCCCGTGCGGACCTCGCTCTCCCGTCCTTCCCCAAGCCCCGAACTGATCTCACGCTGAAGTTGGAGCTTTACCCGGGAACTTTCCAAGAAACATTGAACTTGGAGCTGAAACAAATCTTTACCGTAACTTCTCAGGGGAGACTTCGCACATCACATTGTTCTGCTTGTGCTGAGGGACTGTTTTTTGGGTCCGTTTTGGTCCCTTTGGATATGTTTGGAAAACTCATTTAGTGGTGAAGTATCCATAATATCTGCTGAAGGCAGAAGTTGCACGGCCCTGGCTTGGGCTTCTCCTGGTTCCTATATTCTTTGCAGCCTTCTAATGCACAGAGGGTTGGGTTTTTTTTTTATGTAACGGCTTCATTGTGTGCAAGAATAAAATCCCCAGCTGGGAATAGGGCCTTGGTGCGTGAGCTGCTGTTTATGCAAGTCCTAATACATCTGTCAATGGAGATGCCACGTCCTTCCCTGGAAAGTCATTGTCCCTTGTCCATTGTCCCATCCAGTGACTAGAAATTTGAGTTTTGGAGGTTTTGAAGTGACAAGGTCTGTAGCAGACTTGCTGGTCGTTACGATTTTTGATATCTTAGCTGTAGGTTTCATAGTGATGTTCCCCTTCAATGGGTCAAGCTGATAGCCTGGTAAAATGAAAATGCTGGTGGTGCCTGGGCACGTTCTCCTGCTTCCTTACCCATCCCCTCTCTCCTTGCAGTGCGTGACGTGCGGGAAGGGGTTCAAGAAGCTCTGGTCCCTCCACGAGCACAACAAGATTGTCCATGGCTATGCCGAGAAGAAGTTCTCCTGCGAGATCTGCGAGAAGAAGTTCTACACCATGGCCCACGTGCGCAAACACATGGTTGGTGAGTGCGGGAGGCGCCGGTGCCACGGGGAGATCTTGTTAGGGGTGTTCATCCATCATTTTGGCAATGAAGGGTGTCTTTTTGTCACTGTCGTGTTGGGAATTCAGGGCTGGGCTTATTCTTCTGTGAGCTTTCTCACGTCAATGCAGGGGCCTTGAAATTTGGCCCAGTATTTAATGCTGAACGTATGTCTGCTCAGTGCTGTGTTTGGAGCAATCAGGCATGGTGCTGGGGAAGCTCATTTATTTTATTTAACCAGAAAAAAAGACCTCAGAAGTGATCAAAGGAGGTTTTGAAGTGTAACCATCCTTCCCTTGTAAAAGAGGACCAGACCGCACCAGCACTGGGCTTTGAAAAGCAAATTGCAGATGGCAGCGGCGGTTGAGTTCCCGGGACTTGCAGGCACCAAAGAGATCCATAAAAAGGGGGTTTTGGCAGGCAATTAGGGAAGTACCTGATATGTTGCTGCCGCGCATCTTCCCGAGACGGCTTTGTGTTTGCTGGGGTTGGGCGCCGGCGCTGGGAGCAGCAGCCGGGACCTGGGGAGATGGATGCTCAGGGTGCGGGGAGGGCGCCTGACCCTGCTCCTCTCCGCTTCAGCTCACACCAAGGACATGCCGTTCACCTGCGAGACCTGTGGGAAGTCCTTCAAGCGCAGCATGTCCCTCAAGGTCCATTCGCTCCAGCACTCTGGGGAAAAGCCTTTTAAATGCGAGGTAAGGTCCTGTGTGTCCCCCCGCCCCGCGTCCTCTCGAACGGGCACAAAAACACAGATCTGGGCGAAGATCTTCCACTTCTTGGGGCTTCCCCTATGCTTTTTGCCAGCGCAGCTGTTGGGATGCTCCCTCCTTTCCCAAACTTTGCATCCCTTCCTGGTTTGAGGGTCCCACCAACCCTATGAGGAAACTGGTGGCCAACGCTAGGATCTCTCTGTCCAGTGCCTGGACCTTGCGTCCCACCCCAAGCCCATCCAGCCTGCACACCTGGCTGAGTATGTCCTGAAAAGTAATTTATTTGGGTTCTTTTTTTTTTGGGGGGGAGGGGAAGTGATTTCTGTGCTGCTCTGACATGCTGGTGATTTGGGGGGGATGTGGGGGGTGTTTTGGGTGCTCATCAACAGCTCATCCCCGCCCTTGCCCCCGCAGAACTGCAATGAGCGCTTCCAGTACAAGTACCAGCTGCGCTCCCACATGAGCATCCACATCGGCCACAAGCAGTTCATGTGCCAGTGGTGCGGCAAGGACTTCAACATGAAGCAGTACTTCGACGAGCACATGAAGACGCACACGGGTGAGAGCTCCTCACCCTGCCCCCAGCCCCTGCGGGTGGGCGCCCCTGGGGGAAGAGCAATGGGATGGGGGTAGCATCTTCGGGTGGATGGCAGGATGGGGTTTTTCGGGGGGGGAAATGGTCCAGCCACCAGCTTCTCATCCATCTTCCCCCATCCTTAGGCGAGAAGCCCTACATCTGCGAGATCTGCGGGAAGAGCTTCACCAGCCGCCCCAACATGAAGCGGCATCGCCGGACCCACACGGGCGAGAAGCCGTACCCCTGCGACGTCTGCGGCCAACGCTTCCGCTTCTCCAACATGCTCAAAGCACACAAGGAGAAATGTTTCCGCGTCAGCAACCCCTTGGCTTCGGACACAGCCGTCCCCCAACCCGCTGCCAGCCCGGCTCCGCTGCCCCCTGGCCCCGGCGTCTCCCCCCTGCCCCTGCCACTGCTTCATCCCCTTCCACAGACCCTCCCTCCTCCTCCTCACCTACCGCCGCCCCCTCCCCTGTTTCCCGCGGGGAGGATAAATTCAAACAACAACTAGGTGCCCCCCACCCTGGCCATGTGCCCGCACGGACTGCTCAGCCCTTTGGGAACGCCTCCCCCCGGGGAGCCAAGGCTTCGCTTGCTCTCTACCCCCCTTCCTCCTCGTTTTGAGGTTGTTTTGGGTTTTTTTTTCCTTTTTCTCACCCATCATTCTCCGCGGAGAGGGGGAGCAGGAGGAAGCCCCCCCTGAGGAGCGTGGATGTTGGGGGGGAGAACCACCATCCGTCCGGGTGTAGGTAAAAGGTGTCGTTCTCCATTTCATCTTCCCGTGCATCGGCTTCATCTTCATGCCGGGATGCTGGCAGGGCTCAGAGGAGCAGGATGCCGCGCCATCCGGGGTTGAGCTCGCCGGCGTCGTATGCCCGCTCGCTAGCCAAATGAATGCCTGCTGGCGGTTCAATATTTATCATAAGCCGAAATCTAGCTAGTGGTGCTTGAATCCCTGTACTGTAAAGCTGGTCTTTCAATTCAGGCTCTTTTCCCAAGAGGCTGAGAGGTGGGCACCGCAGAGGAGTCCCCGCCGGTCCCGTCTGCCGGCCCTGGTGGCCCGTGGCGAGCGAGCAGATGTCCCCGTTGGAAAGCCGTCAGCCTGCTCTCATTAGCAGCCCTCACCGTGTCTTCCTTCCCCACGACAGGTTTTCCTCCTCGATAGGTGTGAAAGCACAAACACCGGCGTTGCATCTCGGAGCATCGGCAGCTCGCTGCCAGTTCATTTTTGGGGTGCCCTAAGGGAGCTGGGCTCTGGTGTGCCCTTTCTGCTAATCCCAGCAGGAGCCGGGCTCCTGGGGATGCTCTGGAGCTGGCAAGGTGTCCCTGGGAGAGCTCAGATGGCCTCAGGACCGGTGGGAGGGTGGCTCCGCAGCAGCCCAGGACAGAGGAGTGGGACGCCGCCGTTTCTCGGCAGAATCAGCCCAGAATAGTGCCTTAACAATTTGAATAAACCCCTGACTGATGGGTGAGCTCCAGGTTGGGTCCCATTGCAAGGTTTAGAGCTAAAGCAAGACCGCATTCAGCCTGATGATGATGTCCCATCCTCCAGCTTGTTGCCCGCGTCGCTCTCCCAAGCTTTACCTCCCCGTGGGGTTGGCAGCTGTTGCCCTGCCCTGGCTTGGGGGGACCAGAGGGGACCGGTGAGGGCTGTGGTTGGTTTGGTGACGCCCCACCGTGTTGGTTAGCGCTCCTCTGACCGTGTTGTGTTTGTTGAAGTTGAGCTGGTCTTTGGCTTCACTTATTCAGGCTGGTTTTGTGCCAGCGGAGGAGGAGGAGAAGAGGAAGGCTTTGCCGTTACCTTTTTGTTGGATGCTGGGGTCCAAGCTGCATCTCTCGCTGCTGTGCTCTGCCCCAGGGTGTCATGTGTTGGCCTAACCGTGGCTGTGCGGTCTCCCTGCCTAGGGAAGTGTCCCCTTTGGGGTCAGGGAGAGCTGGGAGCGCTGCAGGGGCTGCAGAGCTTCCAGCACGGGCAGAGAGGTGCCGGCCAAAAGGTGGGATGCGTTGCAGCTGATGCCTTGCTCCCAAGGCCAGCGCTGTGGATGCCTGCGGACGTGGGTCAGGTCACAGAGGTGGTGAGCAGGTTGTTGGTAGGCAAGAAGGAAGAGAGGACATCGAGCAGGCTGCAGGAGCCCTTTCCCATTTGCACCTCAGTCTGGGTGATAGCAGGGTGCTGGTGACAGTAAGCCACATCTGGCTCTGCAAGAAGTCTTGGTGCTTCGTCTCCTGGACCAAATCAGCAAAGCACTTGGGCAGTGTTGAGGCTGTCCCTGCAGAGCCGGGAGGATTCAGCCACGTGCTCAGGAGCTTTGCTGACCTGGGACATGCAGGAGCATTAGCCTGATAGGGATGGGACAGGGGAGCACCCGCTGTTCTCCTGAGTGCTGTTTGAGGTGATGGGTTAGGTGACTGATGTCCCCTCCTGCTGAGTGGTGCCCCTCATGCCTGATGTCTTTTGGAAAGCTGGCTGCTCTTGTGGTTGTTAGCATGTTGGAGCAACAGATTGCTTTTCATCCTTGTGTTGTCTGGGATCCTGTGGACCCCCAGCACCGCAATCAGTACCAGTGAGCTCACCCTCATCTCCATCTGCTTTGAGCAAAGGGAAGATGCTATGGCAGAGCTGCCTCGCCATATTGATCTTCTCAGATAGGTACCAAAGGCTTCTCCGCTCTCCTTCCTCCACGACCCTGGGGCTTATTGGGATGGTGCAAAGCCTTCTCAAACACACACCTGTGAGGGATGTGGGCACTCAGCTCTTGGGGCCATTGGCTTTCTGAAGGGACCGTGACCCAGACTAGAAGACGATTGGTTTAGAGAAGCCTTCAGTGATACCCTTGGAGGTGTTGGAGGGCCTTAGTAGAGTGGTCCATGCTGTCTCCTCCTCTGCTGCCTCCCAGACCCCATCCCCTCGGGCTCCCTTGCATTTCTTTCCCCTCACACAGCCTTGACATGGGATGGAAGTACTGCACCCTGAGGAGGACTCACCTTGCCTGTAGGATCTTCTGTGGTGGAGCCTATCAGCCTGCCTGGCTGGTAGACTTCTCCCCCCAAGCAAACCCCCACGCCAACATGTGCTCCCTTGTACTTGGAGGTGGCTTTCCCTGTCCCTGTCCCGGTTCATCCTCTCCCGGTGAGGACCTGTCCCGCTTGGACGTCACTGCGAGATGAGAGCTCCTCATTGAGGCTAGAAGCCCAGTGGAAAGCCCAGAGACTGATCCCAGCTGCGTCCGATGCCCTTCGAGAGCCTGCCCGGAGAGCCACTTGGAGACGTCGAGATGTGACCATGCACACAGCACTTTGGAGAACCAGATCCCTGCTGCTCCCTCCCCTCTCCAAGGCCTGGGCAGTTCCCAGGAGTCCTACATGGCCTCTGAGCCCTTTTGTCTACACCCTTACTCGGCCCCGATGTGTCTCTTCATGTCTGGTTTTCATTAATGTACTAAGAGCTCAAACGAGTCGCTCCCGCAGTGTCTCGTCCCGCACCCATCCCAGTCAGCCCCGTTGGCACCCGTTGGGTTAAACGGGGCAGGAGGTGGGGGAGTTGGGTCCGTTGTTTTCAAGCTTTTTATATTTTATTTTATTTTTGTTTTTTAAATTTTTTTTTGTTTAACTCTTGCACCTTAATCTCTCACATCCCTTCTTCGACAGACTGCGAGGGTGGAGAGGGGCTTGATTTCCATTACGCAGTTCATGAATATGCCGCAACGCAACGTTCAGCTGACAACCCTGCCCACGCGCCTAACCCCAGACCTCTCCGGGTTTGAATTTTTTTTCCCCCTTCATTTGAACTCTGGGGAGGGAGGGAGTCATGTGGGGAGGGTCATTTTTGGTTTATATATCCCAGGAGCCTGGTAGCACAGACCAGTTAGCCTCATAATGTCCCTGAGGCATGGCTGGCCCTTTGGACCACAGCCATAACCCCAGCGCGGTGGGAAGGTAATGGATGGATGGATGGCCGGCGGGTGGGAACAGCTGTGACAGTGCAATAGAGACGAGCATCCGCTGCTAGACAACTCCACTGATTAAACTCTTGGTTTGCCCGAAGTTGAGAGGGAAGGACGGACGGACAGACGCCCTTTGTTCACAAGGACGGAGAGAGCTTCCCCACATGCAGCCCTGCCTAGTGATATGTAACCACGACGGGAGTTGGGTCGAACTTGCAAAGGAAGAAAATAATAATAAAAAAAAGAGGAAAAAAATAGGAATAAGAACAACCTCAGTAGCATGGAACTTGAAGGAAATGAATGAAACCCCAAGCACTTGCCTCAAAACTAGTTTCTCATGCCTGATGTTCGGCTCTGTATTATTTTATGGCATTCAGTATCGGTTGCCCAAACATGCGAAGTTAAGAGTGTATCGGTGGCTCTACTAGTGTGAACAAACTAAATGAAGCACTTTATTCTGTATAGATAAGGGAAGGCGGGGAGGGGAAGCTTGGATGCTTTTCGGAAGCATCTTAAGTAATGTTCTAGGAAATGTATTATTATTATTACTTTTTTTTTTATGACCATGTGTAATCAATATATGTTTATCTTTAACTCCAAGTACAGCAGTTACTCTCTTTGGGATGGTGTGATGAGGGAGGCTGAGATGGTCAGGTTAGTGCATCACGGGGCCAACTGGGGCAAGTCATTGCCTACACCAGGAACGGGCAAGTCTTGCTTTATATGTTTATCTTTAACTCCAAGTACAGCAGTTACTCTCTTTGGGATGGTGTGATGAGGGGGAGGCTGAGATGGTCAGGTTAGTGCATCACGGGGCCAACTGGGGCAAGTCATTGCCTACCGCAGGAACGGGCAAGTCTTGCTTTGTTGACGGCCCCATTGGCCAATGCCCAGGAGGTCCCAAGAGGTGCATCAAAGCTGCCTTCCAGGGCACAGCTCACAGTCAGCCTTGGCACCAAAGGCCCAACATGCATCCCCATCCCGAACCATCTTCTGCCTGGGGGTGCCGGGGCTGCTCTCTGGGCCATTCATGAGCAAGACGAGTCACGGTAGGCTGTTTTGTGTTGTCCCTAGAGGCCAGGTCCTTGGCCATGCTTTGAAACCTGCTTTTGGCCTCTCACCAAGGCATGTCAGGGGTTGCTGAGCTCTGAAAGTGGTGAGAGGTCAGAATTGGGCCTTTCCACTGCGTTCTCCCAGTCTGGAAGTGTTATGACTGTTACCAAAGAGGTTGCAAGTGAAAGGACTGAATCAATAAACGATTTGTCTTTTATAAAAGAAAACCTAAAGCTCCACCACTTTCTTTGTTACCTTAGTTTTGCCTTTTTTTTTGTTTGTTTTTAAGTCTCTTTTCAGGCAATCGTGAGAGGAGTCAGAGCCTGGCAGGATGGGCTTCCCATGGCATGTTCACCGCTGCCTTTGCTTCACACATACAGCCTTTGCGCTGGGTTTGGTGGGAGGTGTGTGCATGCGTGTGAGACAACTGGACTGCTGTGGGGCCAACAAAAAATAGCTTTTCAGGGAAGGGTGATGAGTGGGTGGAAGAAGGGGCTTGGTGAGGGCTGAGCTCCTGGGTCCTACTGGCTCCGTGAGATTTGTGTGAGCTATGGGCTGGGGCTCCCTGAGCTCCTGTGTAAGCCGTGGAGAAACCAAGAAGCCCATCGAAAAGCACCCAATGCCTTTATTGATGTAAAATGGAGCGGTGGGAACCTCGCCAGCTAACGTCAGCACTGATATTGGGAAGCTAATGGAAGAAGAGAGGATTTTCCCCCACCCTTGGGATGTACCTACTCCTTTGCTGCTGGCATTGCCCAGAGAAGATACCCACAGGGGACCTGTGCCACTGGAACTATGTGCACCTGAGCCGGGAAAACACCGGGCAGCAGTGAGGAGTGATGCCTCTCTGAGTATTCATGTTGGCATTTCTTATCTGTGATTGCCTTTGGACTGAAGCAGCCTCTTGGCGAGGTGGTGGTGAACATCTCTGGGCCAGACTTTCGCTTGGCGATGTGCAACTTTGCTGCCTTCCTTGGGCCAATGCTGGCTTGCACGCACTGAGGCTTGGCCCTCGTTGCTCAAGTGATGGGGTATTGCAAGCTCTTCTGGGTCCTTTTATACAACAGCTGTTTTTCCTTTTATGGTTTCTTGCCCTGTGCCGGCGATGGCATCTCCCACAGTTTTGTAATTGATGCGAACCACACAGCAGCACTAAGGTCCTATTAACTGTAATCCCGACGGACAGTTGTGAGGTGAGCGACCGAGGATGGGGACCAGTTTTAATCGCCACCTCTCAAGCTGTTATCAAGGGACCACACCATAACAACTCATCGAGGCTCAGCAACATTCCTGTTGACTTCAAAGGGCCCAGATTTCCCCCAGGAGAGCCAAGCAACGTGGTAGCGGATATATGGGGATTAACCCTCTCTGTGGACCAAGTGCCAACAGCTTTCCGTTCTGTGTCTGGCGAGAAGAGCTGAACCAAAGGTGTTGGTTTCCCATCCCAGGCAGGAGACGGTATCCTGCCACCACAATAAATGACTTTTAAAAAATTATTATTCTATGCATGGATTTTTTTTTTGTTTTGTTTTTCTTTTCTGCCACAAGCTATTGTACATTTGGTAGATTCATCTTCAATTCAGTTGTCCACAGGAATTTCTGCAGAACTGGGTAGAAGGTGATTTTTTTTTTTTTTTTTGTAGGGCATTTTTCACACGTTTGATTGTTTCAAAAGTTTTTGTTGCCTTTTTTTTTTAAGCTATTTTATGCCAGCCAGTCACCTTGGACTTATTTTTCTTGTGAAAACGTTTCATTACTATTCTTTTGTGATTGTCCTCTGAGGAGATTATCCTGTAACTTTCTAAATCCTTAAAATGAAACCAGGACAAGACTCTGGTTTCTTCACTCATGCCAAATTGTCTTTCCTTCCAAACATGTTTTAGTTTCTCTGCGACTGCATTTTGAGCTAGACAAAACAGTCAGATATGATTTTTGAAACCATAATTTTCATGCCACTTTGAGGGTATTATTTTGCAAAGTTTGTATTTGTTCTTTTTTATTATTGATTATCACCCCTGTTCATGGTATCATGAAATCATGTAGGCATCCAGCTTCCTTCTGGTCCTAGGTAAGCTTCTAGTCCTTGTATCTATGGAGAATAGCTGTAAGGATATGAATGCTAAAGTTTCAGCTCCCATATGGGGGAAAATAAGAATAAAAGCTGGGGCTGTGCAAGGGCTCTCCGTGGGGCTGGTTTGCTGCGTGTGTTCGTCACAGCTTTTGCTTGGTCCTTGTGTTTGGTTGCTGTGGACGTTCAGTTACAGCTCTATCAACATGCAAACACGGGGGATTTCTTTTGAAATAGCCTAATAATTTATTTTTAAATAAACCACTGGTCAGATGGTGTGGGCATCAGGAGATTTTTGCTCTAGCAGATCTTTGTCCTGCTGCCAGTACAGTCGTGTTTCTATCAAAACATCATTATGGATAACTTTGAAAAAAAAAATGCATTTTTCCTCAGTAGGAAGCTCTCTCTGAGCCAAACACATCTGAGACCTCCATGTACTTCTAGCAAACTAGAATACTCTTTAAAAAAAAAAAAAAAAGGTCAGAACATTAAAAATAAGAGAAACAGCATAAATATAAAACCTTTCCCTGAAAAACAGCACTTGTCCAGCTATAGGTGAGGACATTGTGATCTGTGATTGAAGACGAGGAGCCCAAAAGACTGGAGATGAGTGCATATGGCCCCCCTGCCCATCTTCCCCTCCCCCCCCCTTTCCTACCCTACTGCTCACACGACTCTTCCTCTCCCGCAGACCTTAGTTCCTGGCGTCTCTTCAGTCCAAAGTCAAGGTGGAGGCAAAGAACTAAGAGTATTTTCTTTTCATTGCAACTTCCGAAGTGTTTCTGCTGCCCACGCTCATGTGCTCTTTTCTTTTAACTGTTGCATCCCAACAACCCTCATCACCCGGGACCTCATCAAAGTCCCCCCAGGTCTCTCTTGTACCACTTGACTTTGAGCCTTCCTTCCTTCTCCTCTCCAAGCTGGGCTCTAGCACCATGCTCCCAGCTACCTTAGGTGGGGAAATACTTTATAGACCCCTCTTCCCTGGGGAACATCAGCTTAGTCCCTTGGGACCCACTTTCTACCTCTACTGTTGGTTAGGAAGGTTCAACAGCAGTTGAGAAGATGGGGAAAAACATGGAGAAAGAAGCGGAACAAGAGTATGATCTTTTTGTCCCGTCTACTGAGACTGGAACATCACATTGCTCCATGCTTCTCAGTCTACCCCAGCTCCTTGCAAGCTCCAGATCCCTTCTCTAGTTATCTTGTGAGCATCTTCAAGTTCCCGTAGGGCTTCAGGATAATTTCCCTTCCTTTCCCATTTGACTAAGTAAACTGGTACCAATCACAGATGCAATGGCCTACACAGTATCCAGATGCCACATCTCTGCGCTGATAAGTGTGGCCTCACCTCCCCCCATCCCTCTTTGCCCCAGACCCCCATGGAAAAAAAATAAATCATGCCTCGCTACATCTTTGTTAGGCGCAAAACATTGAGGCGCACGGGAAGGAAAGTGGCACCGGAGGCATACTGGATCTCCCGGAGGACCCCTTCCCACTTCTTCTGCTCTTCATCATATCTGAGGAGAGACAGACAGAGAGTTACGGTGAAGAAAGCATCTCCTCTTCCTCGCTTCAGCTGCTCTCCATAGTGGTGGGAGCCCTGGTGCATGGTGTGATGTCCCACAGACATTATTTGTCCACAAGATATCTGTGGGAGCTGCATGGAGACTTTCAGCCCTGGTGTGCCCTGGTTTGCAGCACCAGGCTAGGGGACACGCCAGGCACGTGGTCTCGCAGGGGAGGGTGTCTTTTTCCATTGGGAAATGGGTTGATGGCACCAACACTGAACATCCATGGCGAAGGCCAGCAGGTGCCTGCTGAGGGTGCTCTAGAGCCACAGATATGAAGGGCAGGAGCAGCTAATGCTGTATTAGCAGCCGTCAGAAAGTGCTTTCTGCCCACTGCTCTGCTGCGTGTAAGACTATCTGGTTTCCAGCGCGAGCACTGGCTTTTCCCAGGGAGAGCATGGATTGCACAAACTGCTTCACGCCAAAGGGGAGGTCTGGAACCAGCTCCAGGCAGAATGTCAGTGCAGCAACAAAGCTAAAGGAGCAGATTTTCCCTGGTACGTTGCTATATGAGGCTGGGAGAGATCATTGAATCACCTGATGTGCCCTCCAGCACAGCACAGGGCAAACTTCTCACCCAGAGACCCTGCACAGAGCCTGCAGCCTTGTGCTGGGGTAACAACATCCATCTCACACTGAAGGCATCAAGAAAGACAGAAACTGTCTGTTCCCTCAGTAGCTCTCACTAACATCCCTCCCATGTTCCCTCGGACAGCCCCGGGGAAGATAGTCACCTCCAAACGTCATTCAGCTCCGTTGGCACCAGCTCTCCCGACTCCGTCTCCACCGTGGCGAATCCTCCGAGCAAGTAGAGCACCCCAGCCAAGCTCACCAGGCTGACCGAGCTGCGCTCCTGTGGGAACTCAGTGAAAGTGTCCCACCTGCCACGTGGAGAGAGGAGACATGTTAGGGCACCCTGCCTACCTTTGCGCCGAGGCTGGCCTTTAATCAGGAATCAACAACTGAATTAACTAGTAACAGATTAACTTGTGTAGGTCTACAAGGGATGGGATCATGCATTGACTGTTGTTAGAGATATCCGTTTCCATCGTCATAGTTCAACTTCATTTTGCATTGAGTAGATGCGCTGTGAAGCACACCTGGCATGGACCAGCCAGGTGTGGTGCAGATCCCAGCGGAGGGACTGCAGCTGCAAGGCCCACCCAAAGCCAGAGAGTCCATTGCGTTGGGTGAAGCTGCCAAGATGAAGCTACAACCCTGCGGGGAACCCAAGGGCTGCACCAGTTGGTGAAACTGCTTTGAAGGTGAGCCTGAGATGATCCACAGCCCAGCTGCAGTGGCATTGGTGATGTCCAGCTGTCCGAGGAATACAGCCTGGGAGGAGCTGGTATTGGGAGTTGCAAGCAAACTCCAGAATGGTTGGAAGTTGCTTAATGTACACCTGCAGCTACCCCTTGTGTAACTATGCCCTGACGGTGTGCTCAGGTACGTACTTGTTGGTGGCAATGTCATAGACTTCCACCGAGTTGGTCAAGCCGGAGTCAGTCACACCAGCTGCCACGTAGATTTTGTCTTTGTGCACAGTGGCTCCAAACAGGGACCGGGCAGTTTTCATGGGAGCCACCTCCTTCCACTCAAACTTGGATGGGTTGTAGACACACATGTTCTTCAGGCACTTCCTAGAGAAAGATGAGAGAGAAGGAGCCTTGATCGCCTGCTGGGGAGCAGGTTTGCACAGCAGGAGTCGGGGAATGTCTGCTGGGAAGAATGTGGGGTCTCTAGAAAGGATTTTGCTCCTCCACATTGGCATGAGTGCCTTTGCTTGGGTGGGCACCCAAGGATGCCCGTGCCTGGAGACATCATTTGTGTATATAACATATCCCCTCCTGCTGTGCCTGCTTTGGATAGGAGTCCTAAAAGCTCGACATTGTGTTCACACAGCTGGATAGGGGCCCGTGTAGCTAACTGCCTCTCAGGACCTCGCACACAGCCGTCAGACAGTGTTTCAGTGCTGCTGAACCAACCTGACGCTGTGAAATATCATCAGTAACGCCCCTGTTCCCTGGGACGGCAATGTAAGGTGCGTGAATGTATGCACGCTCACACTTTTCAGACCATAATCCTTTCAGAGCAGGACCTGTCTTTCCTGGATTATGGCATGTTTGCTCTGCAGTCACACTTCTGGCTTGCAAAGAAATCGCTGCAATGCTCCCCAAGAGAGGCTTTTCCTGCTGAGCCCATCTCCTGCAGGAGGGCAGGATGGGGGTCAGTTTTGATGAAGTTTTTCACCCCTATTGCAAATACCCATCTGGGTTTGACTACTAGGACCATGCTGCTCCACAAGTCCAAGACAGGAGACCCTCTATGTGAAGGGGCTTCTTGCTCTTCAGTGCCTCTCCCAGTCTGTGCGATATTCATTGTGAGTAAAGGGTATGATATGTTCCCTCTCCTGCAAGGACGGTGCCATCTCCCTGATGTCCCTGTAGGACTCCTAATGGCTTGGGAAGGGCTGCAGTCACAGAGGTGAGCTGAGAGGGAGGGATCCATATCTCCCACCCCATCCAACCCTCCTTAACCCATAGCATCCAGGTTGGGGAGGTACCAACTCATGCTCTGCACTCCCACTAGTCTGGGGGATGACTCCCTCCATTTCTCTTGCTTTTTGACTTACTTGTCGCTTCCTTTGCCGCCAATGACGTAGACGAGGTCCTTGTGCGATACCACCGCATGGCCGTAAACTGCATAGGGAAGGGAGTCGGCTTCACCCCACTTGAAGGACCTGGGTCAGGGAAAGATGGGAAGTGAAAGGATTTGTAGCTTGCTCGGTGAGGCCCAGAGTACATGGCACTTTCCAGACCTAGAGGTGAGCACAGATCCTGACAAACAGAAAACACAATCTCAAAAATATGAGGTTTCCAATGAGATAGTGCTCAACCAGTAAATTTTGTGATCCTAAAAAAAAAAGGGAAAACAAAACATGCAGGATGTTTATGCTAACGCTCATTCTTATCTGCAGCATCCTCTACTTTTGGGCTTTGTGCATACGCAGCCCCTCTTCTCCCAGGACCTCACCTCATTTACAAGCATTACCAGCTAGACACAGTCGAGACAGAGATTTCTGCATTATGTAAAAAATTAAAACCAATGCGACTTAGGGGTGCAAGATCATGAGGACGAATTTCTTTTTTGGCCATCACCTTCCACTTTGAGGTGCAATGGTTGGCCAACACTCCGAAAGGACCCACGGTGTGTATATCCACATTTTGTAGTGTAGGGCTGTGTTGAAGGCTCTGAGCTACCTCCAGGGCAGCTGAGCAGAGGATGTAGCTATAAGGCTTTGGAAACCCCAAACTGGTACCCAAATAGGGCTGACCAATTTCTCAAGAGATGTCTTTTCATGTCCACGTAGCTTAGACTGGTCCCCAGTTTTCATACATGGAGGTTGTAGCCCCCAAGACCTGCACTTTATTTTACCTAAGAACTGAGATGCCTGGGCTCTGAGCGCTTTCTAATTGTCCAACAACTCTGAGCAAATATTTGATCCCATAGACCAGCAGTTTCCCCTCTCCAGGCTTGTTACAGCTGAAGTTTTGACCTGACTAATACTAGAAATACAGGTGGTACTGATCACATCTCTACCAGCTTCGAATCGGTATTCAAAGCAACCCCTGAGCACTTGGTGGGGGCAGACACGTCCTTTCCCAGAGTCTGCAGGGGCAGACAAATGCCCCGTTCTGTAGGAATGAAACTGGTTTCAAATCTCTGCCTATAAAACAGACTTTGAAGCACACACATCTAAATATAGACCAAGCAAAGGCTTGTTAACACCTACTGTTCTGCCTCTTTGGGGCAGAGAGGAGAAGTCTTTGGGTGTTTCTGCTTCCTGCAAGCAGAACGGGATGGTGCCTTTTAATAAAGCTCATGACATAACATGGGTCAGAGCCCATTGTGCAAAAATAATTGTATATTAAGCCTGGTATCTCTCAGAGCGGGCCATTCAGTGTCACATCTGAATACTTTCAGAACAAACTTTCCTGTCCAAAGCCACTTCTGGTGAGACCACGGTGAAGGTCACCGAACCTCCAAACCGATGGGCCGTAGAAAGAACACCCCCCCCCCTTGCTCCTCTGTACATGTCCCATGTGAGCGTCTGCTAAATTTGGTCCCTGATAACATAATACCCCCATTACGACTTCCATCTCCTGGAGGTTCAATTACAATAAATGAAGCAGCTGGAGAGAGACAGCTCAGAGCTCCATGGTACAGCTTGAGACAGTCCCAGTGGTCCCAGCATCTAGATGTAGAGTTTGAGCCCTGACTCCAAAACCTTTTGGTCCCTGGAGGGCTGGAGTCGTTTTGCATGGCAGCTGCTCCGCCTTTCCCCTGTCAACCACCTCCCGCCCCGCACTCACATGGGAAGACTTCCAGCCGGTCATAGCACAGGACCGAATCCAAGGTCGTTTCTCCCTCTTTCAGTTCTTTCCCTCCGACCACAAAAATGGAGTTTTCCGCCTCTCCCAGGCCAAAGAGGCAGCGAGGGGAGGGCAGGGGGGGCATCCCCAACCAGTCTGCATCCAGATGGTCGTACTGAAAGGAAACACAGGGTCATTAGTGTGTGCTCACCCAGCCCATTTGCTTAGCAAAAATCAGGGTCCAGAGGCTGAGGGCAAAGTCCATTCCCATGTGCAGTTTGGTCACCCCAGTAGGCACTTCTTGCAGCGTCAGTCTCTGCCTGTGCCTTACCATCTGGGGCAGGATGGGGGATCTTAGTGCAAACCCAAGTCATGTGTCATATGACATATATTTTATGACAAAGTATAAGAGCAGAGATGCACCAGCAGGAACGTGTTCTGCTCTGTGCACCAAAGCCTTGACTTGGAACAAGCTTGGTCATCTTTGGATGAGAAAGTCCCATGTGGGACCTATAACAGGTAGTTCCTGGGACTGGAGGAGCTGAAGCACTTCAGTCTTAGAAATTTTGCCTGAACCTCTTCAGCTGTAGCACACGCCACAGTATTTCATCCTGATATTTTCCATCTCTGCCAGGTAACAGCGTGGTGTTGGCAATGTTGGCTACATAGCTCACTCCCCTGAACCCCTTCTTCTCCCACCAATTCTTCTTCTTTCTGGCAAATGATCAGTTACTGTGTCCCTCCTCTGCTTCTCCAGATACTGATGTTGTCCCGTATCACCTCAGTGTGTGTGAGAGTTCATGACATGAAACGTGTGTGTGTCTATCTGCACAAAGGCTATTTACACAATACCTGTCTACCCAATATGGTACAACACAGCTGAGGTGGTGCTGCAAAGCCCAGAGCTCTTGGTCAGCTCTTCTTGCTGACCAAAGTGTGCCAGACCCATCTGACAGATGGGGAAACTGATCCGTACAGTACTACTAGATCAGATGGCCAAATCCTTGCAGATCCTTGGACATCTGTAGATCAAGGCATTGCCTTATCTCCCACCAGAAAAAAAGATGTGAAAGGTTATGAGACTGGGGGCTCTCTGGGCACCATGGCTTGATGGGAACTGTAAACGGGGGCAAAAATTTTTAATGTAGCTTGGTAGCAGAGGAGGGACTTTGTGGGTTAAGTCCGGAGTGACGTCTTGCAGCCAGTTTGGTGGGACAGGCTCTGCAAGATGAAGCTGTGATGCATCATTGCCTGAAGCACTGTTTGCTATGGGCTCAGGCCAAAGAGCTTCAGCTTGCTGGGTTGCCTCCAAAGACTTGGCCTCAGCTGGGTGCCTGTGGTTATTGTCTCTTTGTAAGCTGTGGTCCACATATGTGTTATTTATAGTGCAAGCCTGAGCAGCTCAGTCACCAGGATAGTTCCTGCTTTTTGATGGATTCAGCATTGTTTTCGAGTCATAAATCTTGGAAGTGACAAATAAAGGATACCCTTTTCCATCTGAAATGTCAATGGAATCTTTTTGTTCCCGTCAAAATTTGCAAGGCTTCTGGGATTTTTCAGCATATTTATATTTTGATGCCTGTCCTTAAGTCTAAACTCTCCCTGACCTAACTCTCCTGGCTTCAGCAGGAGGAAAGTGACATCAGGGAGGCCAGAAACAGAGTCAGAAGGTGTGAGATGCTGCTGCACTGACACGGTGATTCAAGGGTCCATGATACAGCTGCCTGTCTACATCTGTGTGAAGTTTCAGCTGAAAGAAGGCTTAAAAGACTCTCTTACTCCTACAGAAACCGTGAGCTATGTAATGGCACTGATGGCAATAAATTACACTTTTGCAAACTGATGGCACCTTCCAGCCCTGGGGTTTGTCTGCACCTCCCATGCATGAGTGCCACAGCGAGCTGTGAAGGGACCAGGGTCCCCTTGTTGTGGGGGAGGAGCTAAAATGGCCACACCGTGCCCAAGGCATTTGCTACTGAGTTAGTGGCAAATTGGGAGCTGAATATAGAAATCTTGCTGTTTGCAGCTTAGAATCACAGAATAATTTGGTTGCCAGGGCTTTGTGCAGTCAAATATTAAATGCCTCCAAGGATGGAGGTTTTGAGACCTCTCTGGACCCCTGCTCCAGTACTCCACCACCTCTGTTGGGAAGGTTTTCCTCACAGCTAACTGAAATTTCCTTTACTGCAACTCCTGGCCATTGCTTCTTGTCCCATCTTCGTGCGAATCCAAGAAGAGTCTGGATCCCTCTTCAGTGTCCCCTCCTATTAGGGAGCTGCAAACACCAATGAGATCTTCCCTTCCCCTTCTCCAGGCTGATCAGACCCAGCTCAGCCTCTCCTTGTACCTCCTGTTCTCCAGCCCTGACAACCTTGGTGGCCTCTGCTAGACTCATTCCAGTACCTCAATGTCTCCCTTGTACTGGGGAGCCCCAGACTGGACACAGCATCCAGATGTGGTCTCACAAGTGTATGATCAAGGGGGAAAAAAATTTGCTTCCCTTGACCTGCTTGCTGCAGTCGTGCTGAAACAGCCCAAGACATGGTGGACCTTCACTGCTGCTCAAGGAATTACTTTACCTGGCCAGCAACCAGACTGGCGGAGCATTGAATTTTAGACATAGGTTTTGGCCGAATACAAAGCAGCCCGTCTACCTGCTCTGTGCAGGTAAGTGATGGAGCTGGCCACAGTCGCTGTTGTCATCCATTGTCCAGTGTGAAGGGCTACATCTCAACCAGCGTTTCCCCCGGCACTCCCACTGCCTTCCCCCTCCATCCTGCTTTCTAGGGCTGTGGTTTCTTCCTTCTGACTTCTCGTTTCACGGGCTTTACGTGGGCTGCATAGGCTCCAAAGCCTGACCCTCTCCAGGTGAGGCCAAGCATGGTCCCTGCACACATGGTGCAGGTGTACAGACCTACCCATGCAATGAGGCAATGGAGGGATCAAGGCCGTATGTCTCGGCTTGGGAACTACCCTTAGTTATTGTTTCCTCCCAGAAGATATGTGGGCCATGGGAGAAGAACAAAAGGATTTCTGGGTATGAAGGGAAGGACAGAGGATTTACTGGATTCCTACAGGGTCAGCAGGAAGGGTAGGCACCTTGCGTTAGCTCTCTACAGGGAAGGTGCTCTTGGGCTACAGCCCAGGCCGCGGCTCAGATTGCCTGTGCGCAGCTCGATCTGATCACAGCTTTGGTTACTGCTGAGTTAGAACAGCCATTTTTCTTGTGAAGGATCCCAAAAGATGTCACACCATGGTTTCCCCCGCACATGATAGAAATGGCCAGAGACTCCGAGCTGGACCTAGCACACCTCCAGGGGCAAGAACAGCACTGGAAACGGGGCACATATTGGTAGGTAGGGACATACCCTGTGTCCTTGGAGTGTTTGCTCTGTGTCTGTAGCTGCTGCTGTTCCCTTTGTTGGCACCTGGCAGAGTCACTCTTGGGTTTTGCTGGGGGTTCATAACAGGGAACATAAAAGATGCAAAGCTGAACCCAGACCTGATGCCACTACCCTTCCAGTTAGTGTGCCCTTGGGCAGCCAGGGCTGGACCAAATAAAGACACTGTTCAACGTGGTCCCCAGTTCGTGATTTGGATCAGGAGGGGTTATTCCTATTACCTACCCCTTCAAGCCTCCTTCCTCAATGACTAGAACCATCCTCCCCCCCAGTGGGATCTGCCTTAAAAATACAGGGGGAAGAATCTCTAGTAAAACAACTCAGAAGTTTCACCTTCATTTACAACTTTCTTTTTAACATCACATGACAATGTATATTACTGGCATCACATGGAAGCTAAAGACTGGTGATGCTCCAAAGTGGTCAAAGAAACAAAAGAAAGATAGAGCTAGTACCTGTAGGAAGTAGGAACTCATGGGATCCTCTTTGCTGTCCTCATTGTAGTACAGTCCTCCAACAATGAAGATCTGATTCTCTTTGGTCACCAGACTGATGTGGTTCTTCGGGATTTGAGTAGACAGAGAGGCAAAATAGCACTCGTTGGCAGTGGGATCATAGGCCACTGCTCCACTGTCGCTCACCATGAAAATAAGGTCCTGGAGGAACATCCCAAAGCGCATTGTGTCATTTAAGATCCCTGGGAGAGCATCCTCCTCTGTATCTTCCTCCTCATCTACTGTTCCATTGACAACATTGTCTTTCGCTTGCTTTTCACTGCTTTTCTTCACTTTCTTCTTCTTCACCACAGTGAATTTGCCTTTCTGGGCATCCTTCACCATCTGCAGTTTCTTGAGCAGCTCCGGGCTGGACTTCACCATGGCGTGCTTCTCCACGTGATCCTTGATGTAGTCGTTGGGCATGAGGCGGAAGCGGATGCTTTCAAAGATGACAGGCAAGGCCTTCTGCCGGCTCTCATGGTCCTTGGTCCCCACCCACTTCATCACTACTTCAAAGACAGTCTCCTCTTTCTCGATGTTGAGGGAGTCACTGGAGATGATTGCAATAAGCTCATCGGGTGAAAGCTGGTAGAACTCCTCATCCCGAGAGACCAGCGCAAAGCGATCACAAATGAAATCCCGAGCTGCCACGGCCAGCCGGGCACAATCCAGCATCAAGCCCAGCCTGAAGATAGCCAAGCAGTTGCTGAGGCAGAGCCGCTTCTGCAAAAAGGACACGCAGATGGTGAAGATGGAGGGGATCTGGAACATGTTGGCCACAGAGAAGATGTCCTGCACATTCTGCTCTGTGATCTCCAGCTCGGAGGTGTAGATATAATGGAGGATCTTGCCCATGACATCTGGATCAACATCTTCCAAACTGACCTCTCTCTTCTTGCTCTCTTCCATGTCCGAGAGGAACATCGCTCGAAAATATGGGCTGCAAGCTGCCAGCACCAGCCGATGGCAGGGAAACTCCTTCCCTTTGACTTTTAAGACACAGTCCAGAAACTTGTTGTGGTCCAACATGTCTTTGAGTCCATCCTGGAGGAGAGTTTGCTGGTAGAGACGCAGTTCTTCCACTTGATCAAAAGGCAAACCCATGGTGAAGAGTAATCGCTCCTTTTTTCCCCAACCCTTCTTTTTTATATATATATGTATTTATGAATGTATCTATACCTGAGCCCCTGGTAAAGAAACTTACTCAAAGCAGGGCTCGCGGGTCTCCCTTGCTTCCAGACCGTCAGCACACTGGGAATGTGAAACGCTTGCTACTATCGCAGCTGTCTGTGTACTTCAGTTTCCAGCGTAGGGCTTTATATATAGCCACAGAGTTACAAAGCTTAAGGAATCCATACTGCAGCATGTGTAAGCCGATCACCCTTTAATATGACACATTGGACAAGGAGGAAGGGAGGGGGACGGGGGAACAGCTGTACTTCCAGCCTCGATGCTTCAGGAAGGGTCTGTCAGCCCATGAGTCACCGCGGGGGGAGCAGGAGCTTTTACTGCCGTCCCATGACGGGAGACGCGTGCGACCCATCGGCTCAGCCGCTGTGCTCGGGTAACAGCCTCCAGATGAATCAAACATCCGAATCTGCCTTCTGGGTCATGAATGGCAGGGCTGGGACCTTCTCCCGACACCACTAAACCGACTGCTCCGAAACTGCTAAACCTTTTGCTGTGCTAAAAATAAACCATGAAGTCAAAGCTGGAAAGATGCAATAAGGGAGCGTCTTATGTGGGCTTTGTGGCATCCCCGACTCCAGCCAGCTCACTCCCAGGGCTGCTTTTCTGCACAGGTTTGTCCTTTATTCTCCTCTGGAGTCAGTTTTCAGAGGTCTGGAAGGGGGTGGAAAATGAAGATAGAGCTATTTATTTACACCCTTCTATGGGTTATGAGACCTATGCTGGAAGTTACTTAAGGAGCCTCACTAAAGGAGGAGACTGGCGGAGCCTGGGAGAGGGATGGCTCTGCTTTGTCTGCAATACATGCATGGGCCCCACTGGCACAGTCTCTGAACACCTCGTCATTAATAAATCCATCTTCTCCACATCTTGGTGACAGAGAGAGGGTTTGAGGCAGAACAGAAGTAAAGAGAGCGCAACAGTGGGCTTCAACTCACAGATTAGGACATATAAACACAGGTATCTTCTTGTGAGTTGAGGGTCTCCTGCTAAGCTCTACTGAGACTCAACACCCCCATGGTGAAGTCTAGAGCTGCAGCAGGACAACTTGCCTGGCCTTGAGCTGATGCTCCAGAAAGGCTGAGGTCTCCAGCAGGTCTTGTGTCCTGCTTGCATGTCCATGGATGTCTAGGAAGCCCCATGGGGCCTCAAAGAGAGCGCAACAGTGGGCTTCAACTCACAGATTAGCACATATAAACACAGGTATCTTCTTGTGAGTTGAGGGTCTCCTGCTAAGCTCTACTGAGACTCAACACCCCCATGGTGAAGTCTAGAGCTGCAGCAGGACAACTTGCCTGGCCTTGAGCTGATGCTCCAGAAAGGCTGAGGTCTCCAGCAGGTCTTGTGTCCTGCTTGCATGTCCATGGATGTCTAGGAAGCCCCCATGGGGCTCAAACGGCCGGTCCAGGTCCAGCTCTTTCCATGGAGCTCATGAAGAAGCAAATTAGTTTTGACAGACATGGATGAGCAGAGTAGCTATAATTATTTATACCTATGGTAAAACTTATACATGAATCTGTTTTATTTTATCTCCATTACTATGGACCCTCTGGGCTGGCTGACACTCAGTGATGGCACAGATTTAATTAACGATTTAATTAAATCTATGCAAAGATATTAGCCACTCTTCCCGGTGTATTTAAAGCCACATAACCCCTTACCCTGGCATGGATGTATTTATAAAAAGTGCTTTGTGCCATGATGCTTATCTACATAAGTGGGAAGAGGGAGGGAGCTATACTGGTATGAAGCTCTTTTGTACTGGTGAGGTTCCAGCAGCATCTGGGAGGTACGAATATAGCAGGGAAATAATCACAAGCTGTTTTCAGAGCTCACATCATAAGCTCTTCTGCTGTGCTGCTCATCTGTGATGGGATCAGACGACGAGCACTGATCTTTGAACTGGGTCAAACTTCAGAAACGTTCCTCTGCTCCCAGACATCTGGGGCTGACAACCCCGTCCTCCCCTCTCCCTTCCCTCTGCACTAGTTCTGCACTTTCCCAAGTTTAATCCTGCGTTGTTGTGCTACCAGCTGGGATTTTTTCCCCCCCTCTGCCTTTAATCTCCCTTGAGCCCGGGCTTGTTTTCCTTTTCACTGTGCTGCTCAGCGTGTGCTGCCATCCGAGGTTGGCTTCCACATTTCCCACGTCACAAGGTGCCGCTGCTAAAATGCAGCTACAGCCCATCCCTTCCCAGAGGAGCTCCTGACCGATCGGTGGGTCTGCGGCTTTGCCCAGGTTTGCGGTCCACCAAGGGAAAGAGCACCGTGCCGGTCCCAAACCTGCTCTGGGGTCTTCATCAGCTTCAGTGGCTTTGCACAGCGGCTGAACCAGCTCCAAGGCTTGGGGAAGCAGCTGTGGTTTTTCCAGAGCACCGTCTCCTCGGTGCACTGTGTCATTTAGGGTCCCTACAGCATGGGGAGAGACAGGTATCTCTGGGAGCTGGTTCACTGCACCTGAGTTAGACATTTGCCTGAGACAAGAGGACTCCGGCGATGTCCGTCTGTCCCCATCTGCTCTAGAGAGAGTTTAAATCATGAATTCAGACTAGACACCCTTAACTGTTCCCAGGGCCTCCTAACACCAGCAGTGCTGGGATGCTGTCCTCATGATGGCTCACGGCAACATTCGCATGTGTGATCCCCTGCCTTGTGTTTCCACCATTTTTTGCTATCAGTTCAATACAGCAGCTTCCATCCCAAGCCCTGTCATCAAAATGGATGTAAAGCGCATATATGGCCTAGGCTGGACATACAAGCTGTGTCCTATGTGTTAACCCTGACCTCAAATGGTCTGTAAACCTCCCTGGCTCCTGAGCACGGGTGCATTCAGCTCAGATAAGGCTGATTCCTCCTCAAACAAGTTTCTGCTGCAGCCTGGTGGGACAGAGGGTTGATCTGGTGAACCCAAACCCTCTGAGCAGCTCTGCGCTGCGGGGAGGCTCACACGGGGCTAATGGGGAGACCCAGGGGTGCTCTCAGAGCCACCATGCACCTCTCCTGAACCCTCCTGGGGCTGGGCGTGAAAAGCCAGCAGTGCTTTACGCAGCTCAGATCCACAAGCTTCAGATCCTCTCACCCACCGAGTATTTGGCGTTCAGATTATTTTCCTTCTTACATTTTAGGTTACACATTTCCAGTCTGGATCTCAAGCACAGTATTTCTCGCTTGTGTGTATTCCCTCATTCCTGGTTTTCATTTGTTCACACTGGTTGGTCATTGCCATTTTACAATCTGTTTATGCGCAGGGAAGTCAATAGGATTTTTTGGGGGCTTGGTCTGAGCCTTGCTGGACTGGAGAGCCAAGGCCACATCTAATTGCTACGGGAGACTTTTCTCTGATGATAGCAGTGGAATTTGAGGCAATCATCAATTCTGAGCCCTTTGCAACCATTGTCTCTTGTGGAGGCTTTGATCACAGTAGACTCGTCCCATCTGTCTTCCATTTGCTGGGTCCACCATGTCACCACTAAAGTAAGCTGCTCTCCAAGCGAGTAGCAGCCAAGCCCAGAGAGATTTAGCACCTAAAAGCAGATGAGATGGCACATGTGGATGGGATAAGGTTGAGCAGTGATCATAGTTACCACTCAGTTATCTCCGTGAACACACGAATGTGTGAATCGACTCTCCCCAGGGTACTCCTCCGAGTGCTGACTGCTGTATGATAGACAACACAGCCCTGAATGAGGTGGGCTGTTCTGAGGCAGCCCTCAGCTAACTGGCCCCAGGTCTAACGGGACTACAGCTAGTGCTTTCCAGTGACCAATGGACTAAGTCAGTTAGTTATCAAGTGTGTCTCTAAGTGTGCAATAGTCCCCTTACGACATGGGAGTGGGTGAGGATACATGGAAAGCATCCTAAGGGGATGCAATGTAGCAGGATCTCTCCCTCCCATACAGATTTTTAGAACAAGAAAGGTGAATGCAGGAATTACAGCCATGTCAGGCTGAACAAGAAAGTGTCCAGCGTAGGGCTATTAATTTGGATTTGTAGTTGCAATAAATAATTGCTTTTCTTGGATTCTCAGGCAAGTTTTACTACCAGGCAGGCAATAACCAGATCAGACAAGATACTCTTCTCCAGGAGAGAGATGAGCAGTTGATAAATCCCGCTCCATGGAGGCATACACTGAGGCTGAGGGTCTTCTGCACAACGCTGAACAGTGAGACACGGTTGAGATAGCACCACTTGGGTGCTCCTGGCCTACCAGACCCCCTGGGCTTCTAACAGCAGTGATAAATGAGGGGATAACTTCAGGCAAAGAGGGGCAAAGCCCAAGTTCTCCCATGAATTGTCTCTCTAACAAATCACTCCGTGTCTAAGATTAGCTCCTTCTGGCAGCTCCAGCAGATGCAGCTGCTGGGTAAATTTAGATCCTTAGTGAATGGGTTATTTTCTCTCCTGGAGTGTCCAAGTCAGGAGGGCAGTGCAGCGTCACTGGGCTTTGCCATGTGAGTCACCCACTTCGACACTGGGAGGTGGGTGACTCTGTTTGTCCTCCCGGGCAGCCAGGGACCTCAGCTGAGCCACCTGCAGAGACAGAGCCCTTGGTCTTGGCAGCTCAAGGTGGCTTCAGCTGTGTGAGGACACCCGTATGGAGCAGAAGAGCTGACTTTTACGCTGGGAGGAAGCACACCATGTCATAGCTGTTTTGGTGGTAAAGAGTAAATCTGAAATAAGAGGGATGCCAAGAAACATCTACCAAAGGTCCAGCAGCAGATCTGTGTTAAAAAGGGATATGCCTGCTAGCTGAAGGGGTTTGGGGGATGTGACTAGAGATGCCACCAAGGCACAATACCTGCCGCTACTTCCAACGTTTTGGGTCGGGGTCCCAGAAATAAAAACTACATGGATGAAAGTTTGATGGCAGTAGGCTCGTGATATTTCACCAGTACGAAGGTGGAGTCAAAGTAAAGGTGAATATGAATCAAGCTGCAGCCAAACCTCCAATCTGGTGAGTTTCTACCAAACTCAACAATGTCTTATCTTGTGTCACAATCAGGGGTGGGAGGTGAGGACTTGCAAACAGATCCTTGTGTCCCTCAGCTCTGATGGCAGTGCATTACCCGGGGTGTCGCCTGCATTACAGCAGCGTAACAAGTGCCACAGATTTCCAACATTTATTTACTAGATAAATAAATGACATTTATCAGGGACTTCACAAATTACTTTGGCAGAGCTGAAAGCTGGCTAGGAACCGATCCTGTTTCATCCACAGGGAAGCCAGAACACACCAGCACCAAGCGTCTCAACCCACGTTACAAAGTGGTCCAGATTCTGCTCTCACCAAACATCAACAGAACTCAGACATAAGGCCACTGAAAGTTACTCTAAAGTGTAAGAGAATCAGAGCTATTTTTTAACTATTAACCCACCTTTTCCCCAAGGCACTGTGTTTCACACATGTAAATTTATTCAATGCATTCACTACGTAGTGTCCCAAAGTCTACTTCTCCGAGGAGTCTATCATGGGCTTCCCCTCCACCACTGAGTCCCAAATCACTGCCCTTCATTCAGGGTCTTTCTCCTTTGGTTGTACATATGTGTGTGTGCTCATTCAGCCACGCAGTCACGGGCTTAGGCTGTGTGCACCGAAGTCAGTTGAGTAAAGGGATGGATGGCTGGAGATGAGCAAGAGTTGGCTATAGCATCTTCTGTTCCTCAGCCATGGGCAGGAATGTGAGCTTAAACCTTTGTCCATGGCGTGTAAAAAATGCAAGTGGGATTTGGTTCGAGTGCCAGGACACGTATCACAGCAGGATGGTCATGGTGGCCACATCGGTCTCAGACCCAGCGGTGGAGGGCCCTTTGGGTCTGAGTTGGGGCCTGGGGACCAAGCAGTTGTGAGCCATGTGTTGTGTTTCTTCAGCATGCCCGGGCGACCTGCACATGACGCGCGATGGCTGTGAAGCAGGTATGGCTCCCGCACTCTCAATTAACTATGCCTGATGTTGGCATTAAGTAATTTTTTTTTTTTTCAAGACATTGGGCACTGAAGGGACCTGTTTTGCAGAGATCGTAACAGCCATCACTCTGCACCCGCTGACAGTGGTGGGAAGTTAATTACCCTTCAATGTGCTGTTCCTGGTCCCTCCCTTTGCTATAGAGACCGTACTATTTATTTATTAGCCTCTTGGTAGGTATAGATCGTGCTGAGCCATTTCACAGTCCTTACTGCATAACCGTAGGTGCTGAACACTTGACAGTGGATGCTAACCATTTCTTGTAGTGAAAGAAACATGGGATGCTTGGGCTGGAAGCAACCTGGAGATGGTCTGCCCAGAGCAGGCTCAGCTCCAGCTAATCCCTTTCTCATAGCTGTGTGTCTGGCCCACCCTAAAACCTCCAGCCGTGGGACTTGGAGAGTCTCCTCTGGGAGACATGGGCTACAGGTCCTGCGGGAGAGCCGAGTGCTGGTGGACCGAGTGTTACGGGAAGCAGGGGATGAAATCTCTAGGCCTGCACAATGTCAGAAGGTCAGAAAAATGATGGGGATGGCTCTTGTTGGCATTAAAGAAATGTCCTGGGAGCCTACCTCAGCAGTCTGCCGTGCATGGGGAGCCTGAGAAACGCCCACTGTGTCTTACAGAAAATCTTTCCTGCAGCAAGGGGGTGACCTGCGCCTTCCAGGTGACTTCTACATGGGTGAGCTACAGCAGTCGATTGTCGGGAGTGCTTGGAGAGCCCCTGCCAGTGGCTGACCTGGCAGCAGTGGCTGGAGGGGAGACGAGGCTTTGGGACAAGCCTGCCGATGCCTCCCTCTACTCCACCTTTGCTTTGTCACACTTCTCCTCCTCGATGGCCAGGATGCGCTCACGCTCTTTGATCAGCTGCACTCCGCAGTACGTGATAAACCAGATGGACAACGTGCTGACAGGGAAACCTAGAAGATGGAGGGAGACATGGTCATCGTGGTGTAGCTGCTCGCCTAACGAGGCCAGCTCTTCTCCAGCACTGCTGCCTCTCAGGTGGGTTTGGGAGGTCCCACAAGTTCATGATGGCCAACGACATTTCCCATTGTGCATCCAGCCCTACAGCTTCACTGAGAGAAGAGAGAAATTCCCAGGATCAGATTTCAGATGAAGCGGTGCCTGAGCCCACCAAAGCATCATGGACCGCGGTTAATGTGGGAACATGCTTTGAGCACTCCCTTACCTCCAAAACTCACGGTTAATGTGGGAACATGCTGGAGTGGCTTTGAGCACTCCCTTACCTCCAAAACTCCTTCTGCCCACCAAGTTCAGACTTGGTGGTTGACTTTCTGCCCATTCAACCTACCCGCGTCCATTGTTGTTCAGCACTGTGACCTTCTGGAAGCTTTGTGCCCCACTGATGCTGAGGATCAACCCCAGCCTTGTCCCCATACCCAGTGGGGACACAGTGCGCGCCCAGGAAACACGTTTTTGTCGCCTAGGTAAGTGACTGAGAGCCGGGAGCTCTCCTTCCACTTAGGAAGGGTCTGACAGCATTTGTAACCACGCATCTGGTATCCACAGCAGAGGGGAGACGCAGGCTCTGTACCTGCTAAAACAGGAACTCTGAAATGAATAATGCAACCAGCAAAAGCCAGCTAGCTCAGCGGGCAGGCACTTCTGGCACACTGAGCCCAGAGCGTCACATTATCCATTTCCTATGCCAGCCCCGTCCCAGAGAGGGCTGGAGGACGCAGGCTCCCGATGGCTATTTATACCCCGGGCTGCTCAAGAAGACTTTAAATTAGTGCCACCATCCACTGATTAGAAATGTACGGATAAGACTGTTCATTAGGAGCCTAGGACGAGGATTTGTATCTGTCACCTTCAGGTTGATGCAAAGGTAACTGCTAAAGCAAAAGGAGATGAGGTAGGACAAGTAAATCCCTTTCTCCAGCAAGTGGACCCTTTCACAGCCCATCTTGGTAGGGTGAATATGACCTTTGTGTTGCTGCAAGGAGTCTAAATCACAGTGTCAGGCTGTGCTAGGAGCTGTACAAGCACACCTGGAAGGCAGTTCATACCCCAGAAAGCTCACACGAGAAGGATGGGAGCTAAGAAACAGCTTCCTGCACCTTTTAATTAATAATTAAGCACATTGGGAGCAGCCGCGTAACAAGCCAATGGCCAGACCATCAAGAGGACTTGGAAGTCCCAGTCCTCAGCTCCACTACCAGTGTCCCCCCATCAAGACAAGGGTGTCTCAATGGGGAAGGCTGGTAGCATCTTACCCGTCAGAAGGAGTCTCTTGGTGACCAGCAGTGCAAACTCCAGGCTGTTGAGGGCTAGGATATTGTAGAGGACGATGGCCCAGAAATTTGCCGCCCCAAAAACTGCCCTAATCCGCCGAGACATGGCCGCTGACATTTTGGCCTGTGGAGGGGAGAGAAGAAGAGAGTGAGGAAAAATGGGGCTGTAAGGAAAGGGGATGGATTGGTCCAACTCCACCCAAACTCCAGCTGGGATCACGGAGGGGTAGGCAAAAATTGGAGCAGGCTTTATTGTCTCTGGGATGAAGAAACGTAAGAACAAGGTAAAACTTCTGCTCTGCTGCTGGACTCAGATGCATTTGGGACTCTGGACTGGTGTTTCAAGGTCCCGTGGGTAGGGGCAAGATGTTATACACCGTTTCATGCTAATTGTAACGGCTGAGTACTGTTTTCTTCATCTGTTGCCTTGGGTAAGCCATTCCTCAAGGCAGATGAATGCTGTTGTATACCAGGATTATTATTAGCCCTATGTGCAAATCACTCCCAGCTCCTGGTAGAAATTGTTTCTTAGGAATTAAAAAAAAAAAAGAGCTGAAAACTAGTGACAGCAGCAGAGTGAAATTGTCACTGGCACATAATCCTCAGGAGCAGCTGCTGCGAGAGGAGCGGGGAAGCGGTTCATAGCAATCTTCAAAGAGCACGATGAATCCCCAGGCCACCGAGTGCTGAGAATTGCGATGCCACAAGGAAGGAGATTTCACTGCCCGCGAGTGCTATAATCTGATTAGAAGTTCAACAAGGAGAGCAAACGGGAGGATTGCTCTCTGAAGTTTTTATTCAAAAGGGGTCTTTACTGAACCTGTTTAGGACCTCCAGACTTTAGGTTGGCAAAACACATAAGGAACATAATTGTTTCCAGGATGGAGTTTCCTAAGTTTTTCTTCCAACATGTCCCCGAGGCACCTTGGTCCCAAACAGAGACAGGGCACTAAGCTTTGGAGTGGTTGGAAAAGAATTCATTCTAGTACCTAAACATTTGCTTTTATCAGAAATCAGATCAAAAACACTCAGAATGCCAAGATGTTTTGCGGAACAAGAAGAACAAATGATTTCCATATGGAAATGTATAAACATTTCCCCATGGACAGGCTTCAGATTTTGTGTCCATCTGTAGCACTCTGACGCCTCGTTGGGGCTGCATTCCTGGTTCTCTTGGACCTCCATTTTCCCTCTGAAAGCTCCACCCCCAACCTAAATTTCCCATGAAGCATCATCGGGGCAGGTGAGAATTTGCTCTGGGTGGGTGACACAGTGCATAAAATGAAGGGATCAGAGCACCAGGACTGTGCTTCCCTTGCACAGCTGAGTAGCTGATCACAAGGATGCTGAAGGCCACAGGAGAGAGCTTCAGGTCCCAGGCAGGAGGCTTGGACATGGAGCTGCACGGCATCATCAGGGATGTTGCTCTTCAGTCTCAGCTGAAAACGGATCTGACTTGTATAAACAAGTTTGAGCTCTGTACAGTCATGGACGTTTTCCAGCAGCAAAGTTTAGCCCCAGACCCATTGATCTTCCCCCATCCACTTGCAGCCCAACTCCTCACCTCCAGTTTGGCAAAGGGCTCCTGCTGGAAGAACTTCTGCACCCAGAGCTCAAAGTTGAGGCCAAAGCAGTTGAAGACAGACCAGATGTAAACGATCTCACAGGGCCCCAGCCACAGGGTGGTGACCGCAAAGGTGGCGATGGTGGCCACAAGCTCCTTCATGATGTTGTCATGGTTCTCTCCAATGTGGTCATACACGTACCTAACAGCCAAGGAAAGTGGTCGGTGCTCCCCGTAGTCAAGGAGAGCCCTCTGGAGTCCCTTCTCCCACCCTTGCCCACTGGGAAGGATGTTTTATCTGACACGTTCTAGCAATAAACTGATTTTTGCTACAGTCCAGCTACACGTGGCTTGTTTTCCTCACAAACCTATAGCTCCTTAAGGACAAAATACCACCCTTTCTCCCTCTTGCAGGTAAAGGGTTGATAATATGTGGGGATCCATAGAGCTGCATGGTGCATGCTTGCTGGTGCACAGGATTTCAGCACAGAGGAGCCACTACCGTCAATACAGGTTTGCTGGTGTGTACTCATGGCTGAAGAGAGCTGAAGGGCTGAGGGAGATGTAGGTGGAGCTCAGGTCACCCTTATTACCCAGGGTATGGGAGACCTGAGCTCAATTCCCCTTTCCTCCTGGTGGAATATGAACCTGACTCTTCCTCCCTTGAGGGAACGCTAAACCCACCAGACTTAAAGGGTTTTCTGGGACAGGACTCTCTCATTCCCAACTTTGGGGGGGGGGCTGTTGCATTTTGCGGTGGTTAATTCAATGGTCTTACGGATAAACAGACCAAATATGACTTCATGCCATAGCGGGATTCACCCAGAAAAGAGGACACCTCAGCTTTGGGATGAACAGCATTTAATGCTTCATTGCTATGTGATGAAAGCGAAGACCCTGAACCAGGCTAGAGATGGTTGATTAGACACTTACTTGCACAGCCAGTCATTAATCCCTCTGTCAAAATGCCTACAATGCAGATGATAAAAAGCATGTTAAAACACGCAGTCTAATGGCACCCTTCCACGCAGCAGTCTGCCATAGAAGGCGCCTGGTCCCCTGGTGAGGTAATACTTGAACCTTGTTCACAGCAGTTCTCCATGCTCCTTCCTTGAACAGGTCCCACTACCGATGTGGTCGTAACCTAACCTCATCCATTGCTTCCTGCCCAAGAATATTTCCCTGGGCTATGGCCAGGTCTAGACTATAGGTTCAGTATAGGCTGTTCAACGTAGGTAGTCTCCAACTTACAGGCCAGCTGCTCAGAAGAACAGCCCAGACCTCCTTCCCCCCCCATGCACATTTCATTCAGGTCAAACATGCTGTCTCTCTTCATCGATGCACGTGGGGTACTCACGTTTCTGCGAAGACGTAGAGCATGGTGATGCATTTCGGGGGCTGGGGTGGGTCCAAGTGGTCCAGTCTGGCGATGGTGTTGATGACCCCAAACATGACAGCAGCTTTCACCCAGTCATACACCAAATTGGAGTAGGCCAAGCCAGCTGGAGCAAAAATGAGAGTCAAAAACGTGAAGAGGGGCACGGGATGTATCTCCTTCAGGACTTTGGGGGAACATCACGTCCCACGGCAGCATGTCTATTGCAATAAAAAACACCAAAGATTTCTAATTCCTATGCAAACAGAAGTTAAAACGTCTCTGTCTTGTTGGGATTCAGCTCACAGATTAAGGGCCACACACTGCCTCGATGCGAGCCATGCCTGAGCTCCCACCGTGGACAAGGCAGATCTGGTTGATACAGTCAGCAGAGCCTGCAGAAGAGCTCAGCTCCCTCTGGAGTAACGCACATGCTTGGTCAGTCCACCCAGCTCTCTTAGGACACCCTAAATCAATGCTAGTGCCATTCTAGCTGCATTAGGATTTTCTCCTGGCCACCAGCTGCCACTCTGGAGAGACATGGGGCTTCTCCAGCCCGTTTGCCCTGTGCCAGCCCCGTGTGGGTGTCAGATACCTTATGGCGCCTCAAATGCTGCCATCAGACATGTATTTGGCCAGCTGAAATCCTCCATCCAGCTGCCAGCTGAATACCAGCGCTGCTACCACTACTCATCCCAGGACTTTGGCTTCTGGAGGTCCCTAGTTCAGCCCTGCTCAGAGCACAGCCAATGTCGAATGGAGATCAGGTTGCTCTGGACCTTGTCCATTTAAGCATTGAATATCTCTATTTTTGGAGAATCTATAACCCCTCTGGGCCCCCGTTTCAATGTTTGACCACTCTAAGAAAAAAAAAAAAAAATCCTTACATGCAATCTGACTTTACCTTGCTGCACCTTGTTTGCTGTGTCCTGCTTCTTCCCTGCCAGCCTCCAAGAAGAGTTCACCTTCTCTACAACCCTCCTTTAGGTAGTTGAAAACAGCAGCTACAACTACCCTGAGCTGCTCTCTGTACTACCTACACCCCATGGCCATTTCAGTGGCTCACAAACACCCATAATGGGTGGCCACCTGTGAAGGCATCTGAGATACCAATGTGCCTCTTGCAACAGCACGGGGTTGATTTTTGGAGGTTCTGAGCTCCCTTCCAGTCCAGACAAAGGCAATGGGAATGGCTTGGTATTCAGCCTCTTAAACCCCGAGCCAAACAATTTCCTCCAGGACCCTATGAAGGTGTCAAACCAATGCCATCCGACAGACCCCAGCTCGGCGCATTGTCAATGGGAAGAAGGGGGGCTTTACCCAAACCTGTCCAACATAGACATTGACGAGGCCTCTCAATGGAGATGGACGGAGATCTGAATCACTCGCCACTGCCTCGAAGCTGAGTACAGGTGTGAGCATGTCCAAGCGCGGCCACTCACCCAAGGACCAGTCCGAGAGGCGGTTCACGAACTTCAGGTCAGAAGGGAGGGTGAGGATGTAGAAAAAGTGGAAGAAGATATCCACAGCGATGATGGCCCCCACATGGAGGAGGGCATGGACCCGGATGTTCCTCATCTCGTCATCTTTGCGTCTCAGCTCTCGGGTGCTCACCTGCCGGGACGGCAAACCAGGAAAGGGCTGAGCTGAGAGAGAGGATGGGCAGCATGTTCCTCCATCCGGAGAAACGTTCAAGGTCCAAATTCAACGCTGTCCTTTAGAAATCACACCATGGACTACACGGCTGATTGATTCAGGAAGACCCGAGGGACTAGCTTGGCTGAAATCTCCATTGATTCAGGAAGACCCGAGGGACTAGCTCACATGAACACATCCACAGGGAGCAGGACATGTCCCACCCACAGCATCCCTCCAACACCCCCGCCTCAGTGCTGAGCATGGCAGCAATGTGCCTCCCGGATCACCCTCCTAGCAAAGGCTGTTCCCACCACTGGGGTTTCCAGAAGAGCAGGCACATAGCGTGACACAGCAGTGACAGGTCTGGCTGTACGTACCCTAGGTGGGGTGAAAACCGTACCGACCAGGGAGCTGGGTTTTATGCTCTTTCTGCAGGGACATGTTCAGAAAGTCAACTTTGCTTAAGGGTGGCCCCTGGCACAGGTCACTAAGGGGGAGCAGATGCCCATACCCATCACATCTACAGGATGCCACAGCCTGTAGGGAAGGACATCTGCATGCTCAGGAGAGGTTGGGAGAAGGGCTGGAATCCCATCTGACAGCTCTGCCAGGGCCAGATGCATTTTTTTGGCCAAGGTCATTTGGGAAGAGGAGGAGGATGACTGATGGTCTCTGGAGCTTCTACTGCAGACACCTGCTGTAAATGAGAGGGAGAGCTGCTTGAGGGGCCATCCTGAATTGGTTGGGACCTGATCGATGGTGGTTTCGTCTCTGCTGTGTCTTGTACAAACAGAGTCTGGGCTTTGCCTCCAGGAGCTGTCATGTCTCTGGCCATTGTAGTATAAAAATCATCAGAGCAAGCTTTCAGGATTACACTGGGCAGACTGATGTCCTCGCTTCCTCCTCGCTGTAAAAAATTGCTGCTGTACTCAAAATCCTCTTATGTTTATTACTTTCCCTTTATTCCCTGCAAGAGGTGGGAGCTCTCCCAACATAATCTGCAGGCTGCCGCACCAGCCCCGTCATCAAATCCAGATGATTCCTGAGAATTAAAGCCTTTGCCGGATTTTTTCATTTCTGTTATATGCCAAGTGCTTTAAGGATACAAAGAGGCTGCTGGGCCCTGAGCTGGAGGACAAGCCAGGGGAGGACAGGCTCTGGCATGAAGATGTGTGGGAGGACACAGAACCCCCCCTTTCATAGAATCATTTAGGTTGGAAAGGACCTTTAAGATCATCAAGTCCAACCATTAACCCAGCACTGCCAAGTCCACCACTAAACCATGTCCCTAAGCACCACGTCTACACGTCTTTTAAACACCTCCAGGGATGGTGATTCCACCACTTCCCTGGGCAGCCTGTTCCAATGCTTATCATCAAGTCCAACCATTAACCCAGCACTGCCAAGTCCACCACTAAACCATGTCCCTAAGCACCACGTCTACACGTCTTTTAAACACCTCCAGGGATGGTGACTCCAACCACTTCCCGGGCAGCCTGTTCCAATGCTTCACAACCCTCTCGGTGAAGACATTTTTCCTAATATCCAATCTAAACCTCCCCTGGCGCAACTTGAAGGCATTTCCTCTCATCCTCATGTCTGCATGTGGTGGCAGCACTCTGCCACCATCCCCTTGGGATCAGGGCTGTCCCCCCCACACTTCCAGCCCCACAGAAGTGAATTTGTTCCCTTGATCCTAGTAAGGAAGATGCTTTGCAGCTCAAATGGGGCTGGCCAAACTCTGGTACAGATGAGTTCCCATCAGACATGGGGTTGCAAGGGTTCCACCAGGACATAGCACCAGTAGGAGCCAAAGAGACAGATCTGTTCCCTACCTGGGCCATACACGTCACCCTGAGGAAGGGACTCCGTCTGCCTGCACCCATAATTGCTGTTAGGCAATTAGGAATTCGTCTTTGCAATTAGCTGCAGCTCCAGCAGTGCAGGGGGGCATCTAGCCAGGAGATGGCAGTGGTGGCCAGGCCAAGACAGGACCCCTGGCTGGGGCATGGGAAAGGGGTTGGGGACTTACTCCCTGTGCCTTTGATGTAAGACTTTTAAGCAACAGAGGTGGGGGGGGAGGATTGCTCATTAAGTGGCTATAAACATCATGGTTTGGGGCTGTGCAAAAAGAACAGGACCCTCCAGATCAAGTCTTGTAGGGGTGGTGGGAGTTCAGGTCTTGGAGACACCAGCGGTTTAATGCCCTGATTTATAGATACCTGACTGCAGTGTTAGAAGAAGCCAGGGCTGCCCATCTCACAGGAAAGACTGATGGAACCCGGGGATTGAAGAGGAACATGGGGTTACGAGGGCACCCCAGGACACTGCACCCCCTCCGGAGGGGCTTGGACAGTGGGGCTGCTGGAGCCATGCTCGCCTCTACTTCAGCCTGACAGATGAGACACAACTGGAAAGATGAAGCCTTAGGATGAAACATTTCTTCCAGCAGCCTGGGGAGAAGAGCCCAGCTGGGGCCTGATGTCCCTGGTGCTTGTCTGCTGAGAACGGACTGCTGGTGGACTCAGTGCACCCTCATGGGAGACACCAGAGCTGACCTTAATGCACCGTGAGCATCCCTCATGGGAGACACCAGAGCTGACCTTATGGTCTTCAGGGTCAAATGCTATAAAAGTCCTTTTAAATAGTTCCTGCAAGACCCAAGGGATCTCAGTCCTGCACTCTCAACCTTTCAGCATGCAGCATGAGGTTGTTAATGACCCAGGTGAACGAACTAGCAAGGAGTAGGACTTGGATCAGGGCTCATCCTGCTCACTGGAGGAAACAAGACCAGTGCAGACCCTTTCTTAGGCAACCACTACCAGCCCAACATTGGAGAGAAGGTGCTGGGCTGGGTGGGTCTTTGGTCTCCTCCTCACCAGGGAGGCTCTGGCTGCTCTCCCCTGCCCTGGGCTGTTTTTTCTTCTGAATTCACAAATGTTTTTTCCCAAATGCTCTTGCACCCAGATGTCAACTGGGGTCCAAAAATTCAATGTAGCTGTTCTTCTTTAAAAGGAAACAAAGGGGTGGCGGCAATCCTTCCCAGCACCATTGCTGACCAAGCAAGAGGTCCCTCCCTTAGCAAGAAGTACCATTTTGCTTTGATGACCAAGGTGGATCATTGGTGTAAAAGGACGTTGGGATGGGAAGAGTGAGGAGGGAGAGAGCACTGCCGTTTTGCTTGATCTTTGGATGTGAAACAGCCCCAGAGCTCGGTTGGTCCCAGCCCAGGCTTCTGCTGATGTTTTCCGGTGCTGTTTGGAGTCTGCTCTTCAAAAAGTCCCCTTGGTTGTGTGCGATACAGGCAAAGACTTGGGGCACAAGGGTATTTCATGGGGAACAGAGGAAGCCCCTGGTTGCTGAAACACAGCCTTCCACCCAATCTTACTTATTTCTAGAGAAATAACTTCATCTGAAGAAACACAGACCATCTCCAGAAATTCATGCTCCTTGGGCGAACCAGATGGATGGGAACATGAGACTTCCCTTGCTCTCACAGCCACCAGCATGCAGAGGTCCCATGGATGAGCACCGCATGTCTGGCTCTCACCGTGGCCTCCCAGCACCGCAGAGTGGGGCAGCATGGAGCTGCTGGGGTGACAGTGCATGGAAACCGAGGCACTGAGCAGTGCAGGTGCCCAGCGAGCAAGGACATGAGCTGAACCCTCCGCTCCTCATCCCAGCATGGTGTTTTCACCACAGCGATGTCTTCCCTCCTGCATTAATCAGTGGAAATGGCCAAAAACCCAAAAGGGAAGGTTAAAACCCCATCAGTTTATGCCCCTCCCCCCAAAAATCATGGCATCGTTGTGCAGCCCAGACTATGGCCACAGACTTTACATGACCATGAGGAGCTCTACAACTGTTTGCACCTTCACAGTGGCAAACAGTGTTTTTTTGTAGGCATTAAATCCAAGCAAATAAATACAGGGAGAGGTCCTCCTCCAGCCCGGCCTCAGGAGCACTCACCTGGGCGTGGAACTGGTCAAACGTCATGACAGGCCCAAAGAAGAAGAAGGGGAGGTAGAAGTTGTACTTGAGGAGGTCGAAGATGGAGTAGATGCCCTCTTTCCTCTCAGAGCTCTCAAGTGCAAAGCTCATGCAGCGCATGATGGTGAAGCTGCTTCCTCCATAGAAGAGGACATCTTGAAGATCAAAAGCTCCTGTTACAAACCCACTCTGGATGAGAAACAAAGAGTTACCACCAGGAATGTGGTGCCACTTCTGTACTCCCTTGCTTTGTGGAGGACATCACTCCCAGGGCAGTAGGCGAAGCTCCAATTGTCCCTGGAGCTAATGAGCCTTGCTGTTGGAAGGAGAAAACTGGGGCTCGATTTCCTAGCTGGCTCCTGCATCCCAGAGGAGCCGGGAAGTGGTGGATCCTCTTGGCCATGTCTTCACCAAGCAGCTATGGGCCATGCAGGCTTTGGTCTGGGGTGGGAATGTCACTCTGTCACAGGGACATAACCCTCCCCAGGAGGTGAAGGAAAGCCAGCACAAGCCTGATGGAGAGAGGGGAATGCCTTTCAGGAGGTAAGCAGCAGGCAAGGACAGGCAGCACTGTCCTTCAGAGGGACTGAATAGCTTTATAAGGTCCTTCCTGGGCTTCTCTCCACCCACCAGTGAGAGAAAATCTTAACTGGGCAGAGACCTAAGAGATAGGCATAGGCGTCACTGAACCCATCCAAGCACTGTGTTACAGGTGGGGAAACTGAGACACGGGGTAGGAACACGTCTTGCCTGGCTGACAAGCTGTTGCCTGAGCAGCAAGAAGGACTTGGGTGTCCTGAGCTCTGGCCCAGCATGAAGCCACCAAAACACAACATAACCCCTGTGGGATTATTCCCAAGCTCAGCAGCACAACAGTCCCCTCCCTCTCAAACCCTGTGGGAGCTCTGACATAGCCAGGAGAAGTGCCCAGGGTTTGGGGGTGCCCCAGGAGCCCTCCCTGGAGATAAACCCAAGGAGAGGGACACAAGTGGGCTGGAAATGAGGCAGACGGGTAGTCCGAGACAGCACCTACCTGCCAGGAGCTGAATGGCTCCACCTTGAAGGAGGCAAGACAGCAAAGCCCGGCCACATAGCAGAGCCACTTCTGCTTGGCCAGCGCAACGGAGTAGAGGACAAGGCAGTGGGAGAGGATGATCATCAGGTAGACAAGCCCCATGCTGCCCAGCACGGCCAGGACCCCATACAGCATGTACACCACAGCCCGGTGCTGCGAGAAGAGAGCGGCCCCGACCTGTTGTCAGCTTGATGAAAGCCCCAGCCCTGCTCCCCCTATCCTAGAACATCCCTCAAGCGCCCTTCACGGATCCCAGGTCACCCTGGTGCTTTCAAATCCATCCCACCATGTCCCTGACTCACCTGTGGCACCGTCATGGAGCAGATCTTGCCGAAGAGGACATGTCCCGAGAGGGCGAAGATGATGACGTTCCTGAACGAGGTGAACCACATCATCCACTCGAAATCGGCCACGTCCTGCGGGAGCAGCACCGGGTGCCTTACTGCCCCCAGCCCTCACACCCCACCCCGACACCCGTCTGGAGGGGAAACCACACAACTTTCAAAGCCTTTTCTTCCCCTTTTCCACCCAAGGGCTCCCGAGCACTTTAGCTTGGTCATAAAACCCCAGGAGAGATGTGCAGAGGTTGCTCGTCTCGGTGCACATAAAGAAGAGCATCCACGGCGCTGCAGGGCTGATTATTTTCCTGACTAGTTCTTTAGGGAGGAAAATACAAGTCACGTGGACTTTGCAAAAGTGTGTCAGCAGCAGAAAAACCAGCTCTGCTTCTCCAGGGGTCAGCACCGATCATGTCGCCGGTAGCTAGAAAAGACTTTGAGTCCTTCCTCCGCTTACCATCTTCCTGCCGAAGTAGTGCCAGCCCGGCTTTATGCCGTCCCGAAAGGCCTTTCTGTTCATGCTGTCTGCAAAAGAATCAGAGGTACGGGGAGAGGAACAGCTCTGGGAAATGGGGCCCGGGTTTTGGCAAGGCAAGGAGCCTTCCTCACCGCGGTGATGAGCCATCAGGGCTCAAACACCCCGTCCCAAAAGTGCCTAATTCCCATGGACAACCGTAGGAGTCAGGTACCTCAACCATTTCTGCAAGAATTTCCAGCAAAGCCTTTTTGCAGTGCACATCCCAGGGACCCCCGGCTGATCCCATGAAATTTTCAGTTTTTTGGGCTTCCAGACAAAAAAATTGGGAACCAGCCTTTTGTAGGCGGGGTGGTTGCCTGTTCCGGGCACCGGCTGGAGAGCTGTGACATGCCACAGGCTCTTGCTCTGAGCCATGGAAATGGGGACAAGGGCAACGAGGCAAAAAGGCAAAAATCCTTTTTGAACCTTGCAAAGGATTCCCAAGCTGTTCTCTGCAAAGATTAAAGCCAGGGATCTGCTGCTGGTATCGACAGCTGTAAAAGCAGCCATGTTACATCCATCCTCCCTCCCAAGGCCCCCTCTGGGGGGATGCGATGGGGAGCATTACCTCTGGATGCTTCAAAGATCCCGCTGCTGCTGTACACCACAGCGGATGTCACGACGAGAGCGTAGAACCCCAGTTCGTAGCTGGGGAGCATCGTTTTAACCCCCATGGCAGCAGGTTACCGCCCCGGCCGGTGCAGGGGGATCCAGATCTGGGAAAGGGGAGGAGGAGAGGGGAAAAAAAAAACAGGGGTGACGGTTCACCTGCCCTCCTACCCCTCAAACACCCTAAATTGCTGCCGGTCCTCAGCAGCTCTGCTTTGTGGGCTTGCTTGAAGGCTGGTAGCTGAAGAGAAGGAGAAGACGGTATCAGCTGGGGCTGAACCCCGGGACACAACTCAGGTGTGGGGAGCCAGGCTGCTGCTGAGTCCTGCTGCAAAACCCACCCAGGAGCCAGGCTTTGGGGGCAGCTCAGCCGGGTGGTCCCGATAAAGGGCTCTTCCCAGCAAGTTGCGTCCATCCCAACGTTCAGAGATGCCCCGGGGCGCCAGCCGCCCGGGATGGGGGTCCTCCAGCGCGCCTCTGGTGTTCCCCCCTAATTCCTAATTGGATACCGGCATCGGCAAGGGCTCGGGGGATGCCGACGTTCAACCCCCGCAATTAGCCCTGGGCTAATTACTCCTGCCAAAACTAATTAACCCCGGCGCGACGTGCCTTTCAGCCCGCCCGGAGCTCTGCAGCCTCCCCGCTGCGTCTCCGGCAGCTGCTACAAACGCAATTCAGGGCTGGAGCGGGC